CCATCTCTAGTAGGTTGGAGGCCATCTCTAGCAGGTTGGAGGCCATCACTACTAGGTTGGAGGCCATTTGTGTGTTATTTGAATGTTTGGATTTCTCATTTTGAGCACTTTTCTAAGGCTAAAGAGCTCATGCATCAGAGCAGTCATTTGTACCAACAACGAGAGCTGCTCGGTGGGTTCCTCAGATTCCGACTGACATATATCCACACTGTTTGCAACAACATAGCGTTGACGGCGTTAACTGTGCTTCACTGTGTTGTATGGTCATGACGCATCTCTTCGACTCATGATGATGCATCCTTCCTCTCATCATGACGCATCCTTCATGTTGGATTGGCCTAAGGCAAATTTGCCAAATTTGGAAGACCGGCGATAAGCAAGGACCTCCGATGAAACAGCTTTGTGCCAAATTCTACACAGCTAGCTTCTGCCACCAACACCTTTGGCAAGTTCCCTGCAATTGTCTCTGGATCACAACATATCAGAAACTCTGATCATCAGCTCCACGGCGGCTGCGGGAACTGGAGATAAGTGGAGATTGCTCCAAGGTCTCAATCAAAAAGATCTTGCTTTCCACACTAGTCACTAGTCCCTTCATACTGGTGAAGCCATGTGAAACATTGTGAAATAGTATATGCCATTCTTACAAAGTGGCCTGAGAGTGGGCCTACCCGGTCTTGTGTCACAAAGAAGTCCACACAGTGAAATTTGTAGAGAGTTTCCCTGTCCGTAGTGAAAGAGAGGGAGAGAGAGAGAGAGAGAGCAAGTCAGAGTAATGAGCAATTCATTGAGTAGTGGGTGGCTTTTGATTGGGATCCTCTTGAATTGGATTGATTGCACATCTAGCAGTTGAAAGTAATTCCAAATTCTTTTGACGCACGATGTGTTGCATTCACTGAACATTCACATCGACGGTTGAAAGCTAGGGGAGCGCTTAAAAACCCCACCCCATCGACCCTGCAATGCCCATGTCTCGATCAATCGCATGCTAGTAGCGTCCGATCGCTCCTAGTAAGGAGCTACTAGTAGCGTCCTTGCTCCCAGTAGCGATGCCAGGAGCCCCGTTCGTAGCGTCCTTGCAACTAATTACTAGTTGGGTCATGTTGGAATTCTCCGCATGCTGAAGAGCCCGCCATGAAAAGACTCAGCGCGCAGCAATATATATATATAGTTCTTTGATCGGGTAATGGGAAGATGCAAGTCTCCACTGAAGTCTCCTTCATGGAGGTCTATGAAAAAGTTCCTTTAAGCAAAAAGCTAGACCATTTTTTCATGAAGCATGTTATAAAGAACCAGTTGATTGTGCAAAGAACAAGAACCATGACCATAAAAAAGACATGCCCTTCGCTCCTAGTAGCGTCCCGCTCCGGACTCGAGGAGCGACGCACGTCGACCGAGCGCCGCTATCCGGGCCGGCTCTGCGGCCCACCGAGCGAAAGCCCGAGCCCACGGAGTCCACGGAGTCCGAGTAGTTCGAGGTGTCCAAAGTGTTCAGAGCCAGAGGCGGAGCGAACCATTTGGGTTGGATCGAAGAAAATGGAAAAAATGGTCGGCCTCCAACCGAAGAGCGATTCTGAAGGTAGAAGAGACAAGCTCTAAAGGTAGGAAAATAAGGTTGATCGAAATATGATTCAACTGAAGTGGTGCGGCATGCAACGGCTTTGGGCGGTTGGTGTCACGAGCTGATTGTGTTTGGTGGAGGTGAAAGACGACTCCTCGCAGACGTGACGCTGCCTTTGTTGACACCGTTTTTTTTTAGTAGGTTGCATGGAGGCCATCGCTAGTAGGGTGGAGGCCATCGCTAGTAGGGTGGAGGCCATCGCTAGTAGGTTGGAGAACGATTCCGAGTTCCTCCTTGCGTCACCTGTGCAAAATCAGGTTTGGAACGCCGTCGATTGACGTGGTTCACGTGACACCTTCACGGTATTCTTGTGATTCGCATGCCGCTCCGTTGGGTCACATGTCAGGACTCAGGCTTCTTCTGCTTCTTTGCCATTGGTAACTTGGTTCAACCTGTTGGCTTTGGCGTTGATCGTCCGATTCAACTTGAAAGTTCATGAAAGTTCATGTCCAAAGGAGACAACTGAGCTGGAATTGCTGAAGAAGCAACTGGGTCCTCTACTCAGATTTGTTGGTTTGTCAGGTGGAGGCCATCGCTTTCAGGGGAAACTACAATAGCGTCCTTGCTCCTAATAGCTCTTGAGTTCAAGGTTTGCTTTCGATGGGTGCAGAGATGTTGCGGCGGAGACTTGAAGAGGCTTTGGCGCACAGAAAGAGTGCGCACATGAGTGCGCAGAAACGGAGAGTTTCCCTGCATCCAGGGACAAGTCGGACCAGTTGCCTTGGTTTGTTTGCACATGTTTGCACCATTGAATGATGTAAATGTTTGAAGAGAAGAATCCAACAGCGGGTTGTGAATTGTTGTGAACAATTGCCAGACAGGAAACAACATGAATTTAATGTGAGAAGACAACCCTCAGCATGTTTCACTGATGTCACAGGCTCAGCGGGCGCAAGAGCGGGCCCTTTCCGAGCGGGCGCAAGAAGGCGCCTTCCTTGCGGCGGCTCGCGAGAGCGACGAGAGAAGCAGCTAATGGAGTAGCTAATGGTAGGAGGTCCAGTGTCCAGTGTGCATTCAGTGTTTTTGTTCGTATCTATAGTAGCAATTATAGTAGCATACGGCCATAATGTTGTTGTTTCCAAGGAAAAGTCAGGCGGTCAATCTGTATCTTTGTTTCGCACACGAACCAGGTGTCGCTGTGCTGTGACTTCGGGTGGGGATCGCGGGCTGTATAGATCCGCAGGTCAAAACGTTGACCAAACTCATTGGACGATCTCCTTTTGCGACATGATCAGACATGCTGGCAGACCTTGATTCGCGGAAAATGCCGCCCTGAAAGCCATGGCAGTATACAGTACGGCTTTCGGCGACGGCTCGGGACGGTCCAAGTGCGGAGCCGGACCATGCGGACGAAGGAGCTCCAGATCCGTCACCGAGGTGGGACGGCTTCGGTCGTCGCTTCGGTCGAAAGGTCGGACTCGGAAGATCGGCTTTTCGAGCTTGTCGAGGGTCTGGAGGAACCCATGCGGGTTTTTCGATGAACGGAATTGGGACGATGGATGGATTTGATGCGAGATCGTGCCGGGCCATAGGTCTCCTTGTCGACGTCCTGGTGGAGTTCAGGACGGACTCTCCTCAGAGACGAACGGGTCGCGTCCGATCGCGAACGCTTCGAGTCGCGAGGCCAGGAGCCGAACTCGTAGCGTCCTCTTGTTCCTAGTAGTAAGGCCAGGAGCCCCGAACGTAGCTTCTGGCTACTATCCTCAAAGACTATGGGACCTGGGATGACCTGGGTTGGGATATGTCTTCTTTTGGACATTGTTGACCACAACATGGTCGATGGTCCCAATACCGAACAAGTTTCGAAACAAATCCATTGAACAAAACTATATTACAACATGGAACCATTGGTAAGACTCTTAAGACATTCATGAAGATCAATTTTGGATTCCAACTGCAATATGCCGTGTCCTCGAACATTCAATTCGTTAGCATTCACTCGGTGTTAGAGGCTGTGCAAAGTGCCTCTTCGCTGCTGCCGCGGCAAGGCCAAGTAAAAAGTCCCCGTGCCAAGAAGTCATATACTTGTAAAAACCCGTAAGATGTTGTTGTTTCTTATAGCAATGGCCTCCAACCTAATCGCAATGGCCTCCAACCTAATAGCTATGCCCTCCAACCTAATGGCTATGGCCTCCAACCTAATAGCAATGGCCTCCAACCTATTAGTGATGGCCTCCAACCTAATAGCTATGGCCTTCAACCTAATAGCTATGGCCTCCAACCTAATAGCGATGGCCTCCAACCTCATAGCCATGCCCTCCAACCTAACAGCAATGCAACCTATTAGCGATGGCCTCCAACCTAATAGCAACGGCCTCCAACCAAATAGCCATGGCCTCCAACCTAACAGCAATGCAACCTATTAGCGATGGCCTCCAATCTAATAGCAACGGCCTCCAACCTAATGGCCATGGCCTCCAACCTAACAGCAATGCAACCTATTAGCGATGGCCTCCAACCTAATAGCAACGGCCTCCAACCTAATAGCCATGGCCTCCAACCTAACAGCAATGCAACCTATTAGCGATGGCCTTCACCTAATAGCAACGGCCTCCAACCTAATAGCCGTGGCCTCCAACCCAATAGCAACGGCCTCCAACCTAATAGCCATGGCCTCCAACCTAACAGCAATGCAACCTATTAGCGATGGCCTCCACCTAATAGCAACGGCCTCCAACCTAATAGCCATGGCCTCACTCGAAGGGTATCCACCAGGTCATCCACTCTCGACCGTAGCATTGAATCTCGAGGTTCTGATTACTCATTTTCCATGGCCCGCAGGGTGAAACATGTCGCGTTGTCGCTTGCGCTTCTTTTCTTTTTACATGCTGCCCAAGTTGGCAGCGGAGCCCTAGTTGCTCCAGTCAGGGACAAACGGAAGGGTAGTGCACAGAAAGGGTTTAGCAAAAACACGTTCTACTAACTTCGTGGTAGGTCGGGGCCCTTCGCGGAACCCCGTGTTCTACTACTACTACTACTACTACTA